GAAAATCTCACAACTTGTCAACAAGATGTGTTCGCAACAGACTTGTAGCAAGCTTGTCAACGAGGTGTAACAATGCTGTTATTTTATCAAGTTGCAAGAAGGTTGTCAATCACAACTTGTGACAAATTGTTGAATTGCAGGACGATAACAAGTTGTTGAAACAACTTGTAACAAGTCTGTTGAGCTCAACAAGGTTGTAGCAAGTTGTCAACAAGCCGTTGACAGTTAACTTGTCAACAAGCTGGGAACAAGCAGTTCGAACACATCCTGTTGACAAGTTTAACAACTTGTCAATAATTTGTGATCGCGCAACAGTGTAGCGCACAGCTAAATTATTCACTATACATGTATTGACTTCGGCAAAGACATGTACTCGTGTCTAGTGTCAATTGACATTTGAAAGTCTTACTAGGAAAACCCAGCTGTATATAGCAGTATTGGCTAACTTAGTTCTATGACGAGGTCATTAGAATAACGTACACTTTCTGACTATATACTCTCTGTTACTTGTCCCAGTCTCCCGTGCTTGAAAAACCGAAAGAAGGACGGGGCTGAAGTATGACACCATCACAATGACGATGATGAAGTTAGCCAACATGTGTCGTTTCCAGTACTTCGTCCAAACGCGACCAACTGGAATATTGTAGTAATGGATTTGCACAAAATTTGAAAGGCAATTGAAAAAAAAGTCGATTCCCATGCCAATTGCAACTCTTTTCAGAAATTCCAAACAGAAAGATGACACCGAAAGTTGAAAACTTTCTACAAAGTACAACACGAAGTAACCTTGGCTTAAAACAAGTGTACTGTATTCAAAAAGCATATTTTGAATTTCTAAGTCGGCTTTTAACCGTCTATAATGCGGTGTATTCTGAGGCAATTCATTGAGCCCTTGACAGCAAACAGTTCGATTCAAAAGTGAGATAATGTATGTCCACAATTTTATCCGTATTCGATAGGTCGCCTTTTCCAAAAAGTTCATAAAACCAGAGAACAGAGATAACCCAATAAAAAGCCAAATGCTTTTCAAATCTGCTTGCATTGTGCGGTATACGAGTATGACACCACCACGGATAATGTACACTAGGACAAAACTCCGGCCGGGGTCTACAACCTCGGAGCTTCGTCTCAACGCTATGTGCTTACAAATCACCGCAGGAATAATGGCTAATCCTGGCAACAACACAGTCACCACGAATTTGTAACTTTCTTGTTTTATGCCATTAAAAAAAGGCACTATAGCGTATTTGTAGGTCAATGACAGTATGAAAGATACGACGAGCTCTGTCGAAACTAAAGCCAAAATGTGACAGTTGGAATAAGACAATGTAGAATCGCTCGCTCGAATATTGCGAAGTATGAGAATGCTACAGCAGATTATGCCAGAAAAGAACAGCACATTTCCAGGATATATGTAATACATGTGCGTATCGTACACACCAAATACTAACAAAAATAAGTAATAAATTATTACCATTCCTCCGAAGATAAAAGCGACGTAAAAGGTGGCCAAAAACCTCAGTTTAAACTCTTTCCATCCAAATAGAACTACCATTGTTAGCGGAAACCAAAGATTAATTATCGTAATTTCAAAACTGTGACCGATCAAACGAAGTCGTTTTACAGAAAATGGTAAAGAGTTATCATGATATTGCCACTCCAAACAAAGATCAGTTGTGCTTAAATCAATAAAAAGGAACGCCATTGTGAAAGCTGTTGGTACGAACATAGCGCACGTAATTCTCAGAGTTGTCCATAAACTTCTCCGAATCGACTCCCAATAACTTCTTCGTCCAGACGAAGTACCATCAAGCCTTGTATAATCTGTTAATCTTCCATCAACAAACACTGAGCTTAACCGTTCGTTGGTATGAAAGTTTTCGTATTCTTCATTTATATACGGTTGCCATCTATCATCATCTACCCCTCCTTCCGTGTTACTTGTTGGATCAATTTGTCCTCGTAAAGATACGCGTGGTGTATCGCTCCAGAAAAGCGAAAATAATGACAAAAACATTGCAGTTATTTCTTCCAACATACTGGTAGATTGATATAATTTAAAATCTGCACAACGAACACGATTTACTTCAGTGAACAAGGGATTGTTGTTTTTTGATCTGTTATTTTCCCCATGAGCTTTCGAATTTCTATGAACAACGCTACAGGGTGTATCAAAAAAATATACACCCTTTCAAATGCAAATTATCCATAATCTTTTAAATATTCGTTGCTCTGCAGTAAGCTGGCCCATTTTATGGGAAGCCTCGCAGTGCCTCGGAAGGTCGTCTCCAATTGGATGAGGGTTTTCTAAAGAACGAAGCAATTCGATCATTGTTATAAGATAAGATAAGATAACTTTATTTTAGCAGGGTGGCCCATTCAGCACTAAGCTGGTATCCATAGGGGCCCTGCGTATCTAAATATATCTATTTACACAATAAGAAAATATAATAATTATATAGTACATATATAAAATGTAAGTATAAAAACCTAATTGTACAATGAGTATTAATTATTAAAAACTGTGTCTTTGTATAAGAGACTTGAAATTAGACAAGGTCCCTGCCTTTTTAATTCGATCTGGAAGATTGTTATAAAGCAGTGATCCCGAGCATATAAAAGATCTCTTGCCCAGACTAAGATTTGGTTTAGGTAGGTGCAAATCATCTTTCCTTCTAGTATTATAAGAATGAATATTTGAATTCCTTACAAAATATCCACTTAAATATTCTGGGACTAAATTGTTCAAACATTTAAATACTAAAACACACTTGTGAATTTGTCTACGAGTAGATAAATCTGCCCAATTTAAAATGTCAAACGTATTTCTGGAGCTGTCTCGTTGTAATATTATTCGTGCTGCACGGTTTTGCAGTTTTTGGAGGCTTTGAGAACACCCAGCAGGCAGCTCGGACCATACAGCATCAGTGTAGTCAAAAATAGGTTGCACCACTGAATTGTAAACACATTTAGATGCCTCAATAGGGTTTAAGTCAGGACTTCTCGGCTGTATTTTTAGAAGTTCACAGTTTGCACGGTCCATAGGTGCGCGAGCCATTGCTGAGTTTTGACTTGGATCTCCGTCTTGTAACCATAATCGCTTTAGGCTTTTATCTGCAGTGCGAAACATGCTTTCAAAGTTCTCGTCGATAAAATTGGCAAAATAACGGCCATCTAACTTATCATAAGCTTTGCACATGACCACGCCCTTGTCATAACTTATAGCTACTATCAGCTTTACCACTCGACCACCAGTTCCTGTCTTTTGTCCCTTCGCAGTACATCCTGGCGTTAGTCCTTCGCTTCTTTTGCGCCATACTCTGCCTTTGGGTGCTAAGGCTTCATCCAAGGTATTTCTCTTATACGCAAATCCCGTTCCGTCGAGGTAAAACGCAATATCTTGAGGCCACACGTCGTGAGAATATTCATTTTGCATTCTCCGTGCAAAAGTTCTCCTCTTTTTCATATCAGCCTTCGTTAACAGACCTTTCTTCCGAGCTTGTAGATAATAATAGCCCTCCTTATTTAGGAAACGTGAAATTGTTCTCTCTGAAACGTCTTTTCTACAAATGCACGCGTTCTCCATCAGTCTTTTGATCGTGAAATTACCCTCTTGCTCTCTTAGGATCTGGATCGATCGTCGTAGTTTCCGTTCCTGGCGTTTATTTAGTTTTCTTGGTCTACCTCTGGTCTCTCTGCGCGTTTTCTTACATCCGTTACTGCTCATTTCCATTTTGCTAATCCTCCACACAGTTGCCCGAGAAACATTGCATTCTCTTGCTACTTGCCGAATGGAAAACCCTTGAAACCTCGATAAATAGTGCACAAGAGCTTTTGTCTTGTAGTCAATAGCCATACTGAATTATTCCTTTAATATTTATCTTTTAAAGTAGGATTGTTCAAGTCCTAGTAATAATGTTCAAGCTTATATATTATTTTATTTCCTTTTTTTGGTTCATTACATAACCTTCGAAACGTGTTGATGTACGCAAATGATGTCATTCACAAGCGTTCTAGATAAAACGTGTCCAGCGTCATAACTTCCCACACCTACAGAACTTGACATAGTATGTGCAGATTTATTGTTGAAATAAAATCTCTTGCAAAATAAAACGTGCCATCATGATTTTGTAAGGCTTATCCCCCTTTACCCCATGCAATGTTGCGAAATTATCGTTAGAAACAACAAAACGTAGCTCGATAGGTCCAATACAGAGGAGGTTGGACAGCCAATTAGGCGAACATCTCGACCAATCAGATTGCGCCATTTTCCTCATGCACACACGAAGCTTTTGGCATCGAAAATTTACATAGGGCTCATAAATATCGATTTTTTTCATATCGTTATGCAATTTTTTGGGAAATTTCACGCGATACTACTTCTACAACAGTCAATCTACCCATTGGAACGGCATCTTAAAAGGTAAGCGTCATTTTCCAGTTTATTTTGACCTCTCACTTAGGCGCTATGACGTCGCGATGTAATTTAATGGCGTTTCCGTCAACAATCTTTGAAGACAAAATTCTCAAATCTCCATGGTTCGATTTCGCTATTTTTTTCACGATTAGTTAAATAAAAGTATAATCTTTAATTCTATCCAGCCGGCCCCCCTCGGCCTCTCAACCGTTTTCGAGATATTCACCGTTGAATATAGC